CAACCTTGTGGTATGAATTATACACATTAAGGCACATATTTTGAATGTCAAAATGAAACAGAATCCAATGAGCAAAATTGGGCATCCTCATTAGCATAAGAACGTGGTCAACAAGGATCCAATTTGTATTGCATGACATGTACAACCCAACAATATATGACATAAGAGAAGTCTAAATTGTTAGAGCAGTCTTATCTCAGCAAAATTCATCATACAGACCTCTCATTTGGCTATCAAACGAAAAGTTTGTGGTTCTAGCCTTCGTGTTTATCTTATGTCCATGTCTTAAACATCTTTCTTAAGTAATAAAAACTCACAACCATATACTACAAAAAAAGAGAGAAAAATGACAAAATCAACAATGTATAAAAGAATCTTAAACACAAACTAAGAAAATAACTTACTATATCATCCAAACATTCTTTAGGAGTAAATAATTCATACCACCATTGCTTAGTAGAGATAGCAATATCGTCGAAGTAGAAGCAAGGATTGATAATAGAATCTTCATCATTAAAATTTTTATACCTACATCAAATAATGCAAAAAGTCACATGAAATGTCATTTACTAGAAACAAGTCACAAACAACTAATATTAGTAATGTACTTATTTTTTTTCATGAATCCCTTATTGTACCATAACTCAAAAGCATCAACATCACATGCATTTGTAGGCCACAAACCAACTAGGAATGCGAAAGTGCCCTTTATAATACGTTTCTTAGCACCCAATATAGAATCATATTGATTCACCTAGGGGGACTAAAGAAGCATTGTAGGTTTCTTTCGTCTCTTCAAGTGCACATTTTCATCATCAATGTCAATAGCTTCAACGTTTCCCTCTTTTCAAACTCAATTCATAAAGAAAAACTAGGATAGTTAGGAAAGACGTGATTTGTCATCTTATTCGTTTAATCCTATAAACTCTCCACATAATCCTATAAAAAAGGTAATTTCAGGAAATCAAAAAAGTCATAAAATACATGAAAAGGTCGCAAGACACTCATAGACTCAAAAGTGAGAAAAAATCTCATGTATTAATTTTAAACTCGAAAACACTTGAATACCTTTGTTTCTTTTTCATTACTAGCTATCAGCATACTGTCGAGATTCCGTTCCAAATTTTGTAGATCCTC